GCCCGGCCCCGAGCCCCGCAGCCCGGCCCCGAGCCCCGCAGCCCGGCCCCGCAGCCCGGCCCCGAGCCCCGCAGCCCGGCCCCGAGCCCCGCAGCCCGGCCCCGAGCCCCGCAGCCCGGCCCCGCAGCCCGGCCCCGAGCCCCGCAGCCCGGCCCCGAGCCCCGCAGCCCGGCCCCGGGTCACGGCCCAGCCCAGCACGTGCGTCTTCTCGGAGCCCGTAGGTTTTGCCAGCTGAGGAGCCGCCACAATTAAGGAAGAGTTCCGCCCTGAGCAGAGACCTCTTACACAAGGGCTGCGGCCAGGGTTTCCTCCAAGGGTGGATGACCTAACACCAGCACCTTCCTATTTGTCTTGCAAAAGCCCACATTTAATAGCCCCAGGCACTTTGATCCTCTGGTGTTTTGAGAGCCACGGGCCTGCCATCCCAGCCATCTGGGCTGACATCCCAGAGGAGATCAGGAAAGAAGTTTTTTGTTTTTTGTTTTGCAGGCCTAGGAAAGCTGTGAGACCCGCATGTCAATCAATAGGCCAGGCCTGGTGGTACCTCCCTGTAGTCCCGGCTATGTAGAAAGCCCTGGGTAGGATTGAGTTGGGTCCAGCCCAGCCACACGCAAAGAACACAAGACACTAGCTGAAAAATAACTAAGGCAAAAGCAGAAAGAAATTAGGGACACGGCTCAAGGGTAGAGTGCCCAGCACACCAGGGTCCTGAGTTCAGATTCTAATACTGCCACCACCACCTCCAACAAAAAAGAAAGAGGAAACAGGATTTATAAAGTTTTAACTAGGTAGTTATCCATCTAACTAGATTATCTATCCGTCTGTCCATCTGTCCATCCATCCATCCATCTAGCTACCTGAAGTCCTGAGGCTTGAACTCTGAGCCTGAACACTGTTCCTGAACTTTGTGCTCAAGCCTGGCGCTCTACCACGTGAGCCACAGCGCCACTTCTAGTTTTCTGGTGGTTCACTGGAGATCAGAGTCTCACAGACTTTCCTGCCCAGGCTGGCTTTGAACCGAGATCCTCAGACCTCAGCCTCCTGAGTGGCTGGGATGACAGGCGGGAGCCATAGGAACGCGGCTTCCACGTTCCATTTGGAGTAAAGTTAATGGATTCCTGGCAGGTGATCTATTAAGTTTCTATTTACACTTGGCGCGTGTCTGTGTGCATTGCTTAAGTCAGGACCCAGCAATGTTGAACGTGCCAATTTCACCTTCTCCTTTCCAGGCCGACCGTGGGTGACTGGGGAGAGTTTATTCTTAAATCCATTCCCCTGATGATTATAGTAGTCTATTATCTTGGGCAAAAAAAGAAATGTCCTCAAAAGATGCACAGCTCAGGCCAGGCAGCGGTGCTCACACCTGTAATCCCGGTTAATCAGGAGCCTCGGCCGTGGAGAGCACAGTCCAAAGCCAGTCCAGGCAAACTGTTTATCTCATTACACACACACACACACGCGCACACACACACACACACACACACACTGCACATCTCTGCCTCCTATTGCATAGCTGGGATTACAGGCATGAACTACAGGTGTCTGCCTTCTGTTTATTAGATTTGTTTATTTTTGGTGCCAGTCGTGGGGCTTGAACTCAGGGCCTGGGCGCTGTCCCTGAGCTCTTCATCTCAAGGCTGGTGCTCTACCACTTGAGTTACAGCGCCACGTCCAGTTCTTAGGTGGATAATTGGAGATCAGAGTCTCACAGACTTTCCTGCCCGGGCTGGCTGTGAACCTCCATCCTCAGATCTCAGCCTCCTGAGTAGCTGGGATGACAGGCAGGAGCATGGGTGCCTGGCATGTTACTCATTAAAGCAGCTCCATTGTAGTTCACCTGCTATGCTCGGGCTCAGAATTTCAGTCCTATGACTCCACAGCTTAGATTCTGGGACATGAAACAGAAATCACCGTGTCTTTTGCAATTCTTCCTGCCACTGACAGGAAGAGGAAATACAGGAAGCAATCGGGACCTGGTTCCGATGAGCTTCTCTGCCCCTTTCTGCTGGGGTCAAGCAGTAAATTGAGTTTTTAAAAATCATATCTGCAGTATATCACAACCAGCCACAGCAATGTTACCATGTCAATAGCAATATAGAAGCCAGGCTCTGTGGCTCACGACTGGAATCCCAGCTACTCAGGAGGCTGAGATCTGAGGATCATGGTTGAAAGCCAGCCTGGGCAGGAAAGTCTGTGAGACTCTGATCTCTTAACTACTCGGAAAGAGCCCGAAGTGGCACTGTGGCTGTGGCTCAGGTGGTAGAGCGCCAGCCTGGAGCCAAAGGAGCTCAGGGACAGAGCCCAGGCCCCGAGTTCAAGTCCCGGGCCCGGCAAAAATGTAAAAATAGAAATCAGTCTATAATGGACCAGTGGAAGCACATAGATGTTATTATACTACATGGACTGGTTGCAACCTATTACTGGTATGGCGATCACATGTGAGTAGGCCGTGCTGTGTTGATAGGAAGGGGCACCCCACGTTAGAATGAATGAGTGGTCATCTACGGGTGTTGAGCTGTACGTCCATGTATATGTCTGTCTGTTCATTCAGTAGCCACAGGTCACGGATGTGTCTGTCACTAGAACCCCAAAGCCTTCCAGGTCGGTGGCCCCGGAGCCTGGCTGGGTGGGGGCTGTGCCCAGAAGCTCACTTCCCCTGCCCGGGAGGCTGCTTACTTCCTCCCGTCCTGCATGGGGGGTGGCAGCAGCCTGGTGGCGCAGGAAGTGGACGGCCACCAGCTCTGCCGAAAGACTCGGTCCAGCGGGCACCAGGGCGCCCGGCGTGGTGGCCTGGGCCTGCAGCCCTGGCCGGAGGCTGCGGTCCCGAGGATCGCGGTTGGAGGCTGTGACCTCCAGGGACCCACCGAAGATGCACGCTGGGCAGTGGAGCCGTGGCCCAGGGGGTGGAGCAGTAGCAGGGAGTCGAAGGCTGCGAGTTCAAGCCCCAGGATGGGCAAAACAAGAGATTGAAGGAAAACAAAGGTGCAGCCTTGTTTAACAGAAGGATTATCATCATCCTCACCATCACCATCATCATCATCATCATCATCATCACCACCATCATCATCATCATCATCATCATCATCATCATCATCATCATCATCACCATCATCATCATCATCATCACCATCATCATCATCATCATCACCACCACCATCATCACCATCATCATCATCACCATCACCATCATCATCACTGTCACCATCATCACCATCACCATCACTATCATCATCTTCATCATCACCATCATCATCATCATCACCATCACCATCATCATCATCACCATCACCATCACCACCATCATCATCATCACCGTCACCATCATCACCATCATCATCATCACCATCACCATCATCACCATCATCATCATCACCATCATCACCATCACCATCACCATCACCATCATCATCATCATCACCATCATCATCATCACCATCATCACCATCACCATCACCATCACCATCACCATCGTCATCACCATCACCATCATCATCACCATCACCATCACCATCACCATCGTCACCATCATCATCATCATCACCATCATCATCATCACCATCATCATCACCATCATCATCACCATCATCATCATCACCGTCATCATCATCATCATCATCATCACCATCATCACCATCATCATCATCATCATCATCACCATCATCATCACCATCATCATCACCATCATCATCATCATCACCATCACCATCATCATCATCATTATCACCATCATCATCATCACCATCATCATCATCATCACCATCATCATCACCATCATCATCATCATCATCATCACCATCATCATCATCATCGTGTAATCAGCAGGAAGAGCAGCATTTCTGACACGGGTTTTTGCGTGTTTTTCCCCCATTTCAGGTCTGGTTTTGTGCGGTTTTTGCACAGACCACCTTAACCCCGTGCTCCCCCCAGGGCGGCGCAGGGTGACCACTTAGAGACAGAAAACCCCCCAAAACACCAGGCGCTGCCATCCGGAGGATCGCGGTTCCGGGGTGCGGCCGGCCAGGGCCCCCCGACCCCCCCCCCAACCCAGGGGCGGAGCCGGACACAGCTGGACACAGCTGGGACCGCGGCGCCCAGCCCCCAGGGGAAAACAAACAGAAGCAAAGCCCCGCGAGACGGCGGGCATCCGGGGCCGTGCACGTTCCGCAGCGGGCGGCCCGCCCCCACGGTGCCCGCCCCCACGGTGCCCGCCCCCACGGTGCCCGCCCCCACGGTGCGGCTTTGGGCTCTAAGCCGCCCCTCCTCCACCCCCTCCCCTCCCCCCTCCCCTCCCCCCCCGCCTCTGCGCCCGGCACGGCTGACTTTTGACCCCGGGTCCCGGGGCTCGAACCCGGGCCCGGGCGCCGCCCCGCCCCGTTTGGCCGCTGGCGGTTCGAGGCCAGCCCGGAGCCGCCGGCGACCCCGCCCCGGCCCCGGCGCGGCCCCGCGAGCCTCCGGATCGCAGCCTCCCTCCCGGGCGCCCGCGCCGCGATCGCGCGTGGAGGCCCCGGCGGGGAGGCGACCCCGGTGGCCCTCAAATTGCTACACGCCGGGAATCCGCCCTCCCGAGGCTCCGAGGCGAGCGGAGGCCGAGAAACGGAGGAAAGGCGGCCGGGGGCGGGGGGCCGGGGAGGGAGACTCGCCGGAGGATGTGGTGGCGGGGCGGGGCCGGAGGGAGCGCGGCCACGCCCCCGGCACCGCCCTCCCCCGCCCAGCCGCGGCTCATTGGGCGGGGCCGGGCTGGGGGCGGGGCCGGGGCGCCGAGGGGTGCGGCCTGGGCCGGTGGGCGGGGCCGGGACCCCCAGGGCTGCAGGTTCATTGGGCGGGGCCGAGGAGGGGGCGCTAGCTCCGCCCCCCGGGAGCCTTCATAAGGCCTGCGCTCGGCGCGGCCGGCGGCGCACACGCTTCCCCTAACGGTGCGGCCGCCGCCGGGCGTCGCCCCGAGCTGCGCCCCCGCAGGACGAGCATCGCCGGACCCCCGCGCCCCCAGACATTCCCCGAGCGGTCTCCCGAGAACCCGGGTGGGACCATGGGGACGCACAAGGTAAGCGGGATGTGCGGGATGTGCGGGATGGCGGCGCCTCAGCGTCATCCCTCCGTCCCCATCCTCCTCCTCCTCGTCCTCCCGGTCACGATCGCGCTCGCGCTGCAGCGGTGAGGGGCGGCCGCAGTCCTCGTCTCGGGGGCCCCGCCGGGCGGGCGCCCCCGGCTCCGCCTCCGGCCCCTCCGCCGCCCGCCTCGGCCCCGGCCCCGGCCCCGGCCCGCGCCTCTGCCATGGCCTGGGCGCGCGGGTCACGGCGGCCGGTCACCTTCGCGTGCGCGGGCCCGCCGGGTCACGGCCGCGCCGGGGGCGCCGCGGGGCGCGCTTGGGAATAAGGGGCTGGGGGCCGGGTGAGGGGGATGGGGGAGCGCCCCGGCCCCGCCCGTGACCCCGCCGCCCGGGGTCGGGGGCCCCGGGTTCGAGCCCCAGCGCCCGCCCCGCGCACGCCCGTCGCTCCGGCCGAGGCCCGGGGGGATCGGAGCCCCTGCCGCGCGGGGACGGAACCGGGGTGTCGGCCCGACGCGTCTCGGTGGCTGGGGGGCTCCCCGAAAGCGGGGCGGCCCGCGGGCTGGAGGGCGCGCGCTCTGCTGGTGGGGACCCGCGCGTGAGCGTGAGCTGGGTGCGGGGCTCGAGCCCGCGCGGGCTCGGTCACCCCCCCCGCCCCGGCCCCGGCGGGATCCGATGCCCGAGCTCAGCCCCGCGGCCGGGGTCGCCGTCCGCTCCCGCCTCGCCCCTTCCCTGAGCCTCTTGCTTGTCCGCTGGGGCCGGTCCCGGGACTGGAACTCGCACCGGCCCCGCCGCTGACGGTCCCCCGCGCCCCCAGGTGACCCCGTCGCTGATTTTCGCCGTCTCCATCGCCACCATCGGCTCCTTCCAGTTTGGCTACAACACGGGCGTCATCAACGCCCCGGAGACGGTGAGCGGCCGGGGCCGGGTCGGGGGCGCTCACCTGGCCGGCCCTTCCCCGATCCTCTGCTCGGGGCTGGGCCCCGCTCCCTGCGGGTCCCCGGTCGCCCGCGCTGGGCGAGTTTTTCCTCCGACCCTCCCCGCGGAATTTGGACCCGGTCCCTGAGTTGGGTGGGCGAGGAGGGCGGGGCCCGGGCGAGGAGGGCGGGGGCCTGGTGGGGGCGGGGCCCGGGCGAGGGGGCGGGGCCCGGGGCCTGATGGGGCGGGGCCCGGGCGAGGAGGGCGGGGCCTGAGAGGGGCGGGGCCCGGGCGAGGAGGGCGGGGCCTGAGAGGGGCGGGGCCCGGGCGAGGAGGGCGGGGCCCGGGCGGGGCGGCCGCGGCTCTGCGCCGCCACCTGCCGGCGGGCGCAGGAATCGCCCTCGGGGCCGAGTGCTGAGTGCACAGTACCCGGCCTGTGCTGGGTCCTCGGTGCTGGGTCCTCATCGGGCCGCGCCTGGTCGGTCTGTCCGTCCTGCAGATCATCCGGGACTTCCTCAACTACACGCTGGAGGAGAAGATGAAGGACCCGCCGTCGGAGGGGCTGCTCACGGCCCTCTGGTCCCTGTCGGTGGCCATTTTCTCGGTCGGGGGAATGATCGGCTCCTTCTCGGTCGGGCTCTTCGTGAACCGCTTTGGCAGGTACGGACCGGGACCGGGACCGGGGGCGGGGGGGGTTGGGAGAGGGAGGGGGCGCCCGGGCCGGGCCCAGCACCGCCGCCCCAGCCTCGGGAGGCCGAGGTCTCGGGAGGCCGAGGTCTGAGGATCGCGCTTCGAGGCCAGCCCGGGCGGGAAAGGCCGCGAGAGTCGCCACAGCCGGAGGCGGGGCCGGGCCCGCGGGGGGGGGGGGGGGCGGCGCCCGGACCCGGGTTCGAGCCCGCCGACCCCGCGGCCCCGCCCGCCCGCAGGCGCAACTCGATGCTGATGGTGAACCTGCTGTCCGTGGTGGGCGGCGGCCTGATGGGCTTCTGCCGGCTGGCCGAGTCGGTGGAGATGCTGATCCTCGGCCGCCTGGTGATCGGCGTCTTCTGCGGGCTGTGCACCGGCTTCGTGCCCATGTACATCGGCGAGGTGTCGCCCACGGCGCTGCGCGGCGCCTTCGGCACGCTCAACCAGCTGGGCATCGTGGTGGGCATCCTGGTGGCGCAGGTGAGGGGGGGAGGGGGAAGGGGGGAGAGGAGGGGGGAGGGGGGGCAGAGGAGGGGAGCGGGGGGGGGGGACGGGGGACAGAGGAGGGGAGCGGGGGGGGGCACGGGGGAGGGGGACCCGCCTCCCACCGCACATGCCATCGCACGCGATCACGCTCACGCACAAACGCGCCCTCCATCTCTGGTGGGTTTGGGGTGCCCGTCCTCCGGCCCCGCCCTGGGTCGCCCCAGGCCGGCGCTCTACCACTGAGCCACGAGGCGCCGCCCGGCTTGTTGGTGGCTGTGGGATCTCGGCTGCTGAGGGCGGGGGTGACGGCGGGGGCCGCGGAGCCCGCCCGGCCGCGGGTCGTGCTGCTGGTGCTCTCCAGGCCTGTGCACGGTGCTCACGCGGCGCCGGCGTCTGGCTTCCAGATCCTGGGCCTGGACATCCTGCTGGGCTCGGACGACCTGTGGCCGGTGCTTCTGGGCTTCACCATCATCCCGGCCGTGCTGCAGAGCGTCGCGCTGCCCTTCTGCCCCGAGAGCCCGCGGTTCCTGGTCATTAACAAGAAGCGGGAGGAGCAGGCCAAGGACAGTGAGTCCCCCCCCCCCCAAGACGAGCTGCGCGTATTATCTTGGGTTATGGTCAGTCCTGGGCCTGGGCGCTGCCCCTCGGCCCTTCAGCTCAAGGCTGGCGCTCCACCACGTGAGCCGCAGCGCCACTCCCGGTTTTCTGGTGGTTCCTGGGAGATCAGAGTCTCCGGGACTTTGCTGCCCAGGCTGGCCGCGAACCCCGATCCTCAGGATTAGAGGCGGCGCCCGCGGGCCCAGCTGTGGCTTCTCTGCTCGAGGTGGGTGCTGAGGCCCCGGGTTCGAGTCCGCAGCACCTCGGGCACAGGGAAAGCCGGGAGCGGCGCCGTGGCTCGGGGTGGAGCGCCCGCCTGGGCCGGAGCCGCCGGGGACGCGCCCGGCCCGGGAAAGCAAAGCCCGAGCTGGGGCCTGGCGCCGGGGGTCGGGGATCGATCGGGGGTCGGGGGTCGGGGATCGATCGGGAATCGGGGGTCGGGGTCGGGGATCGGGATCGGGGTCGGGGGTCGGAATAGGGGTCGGGGATCGGGGATCGATCAGGGTCGGGGATCGGTCGGGGGTCGGGGATCGGGGGTCGGGGTCGGGGTTGGGGGACGGGAATCGTGGGTCGGGGTCGGGGTTGGGGGTCGGGGATCGGTCGGGGGTCGGGATTGGGGTCGGGGGTCGGGGGTCGGGGATCGATCGGGGTCGGGGATCGGTCGGGGGTCGGGGGTCGGGGATCGGGGTCGGGGGTCGGGATTGGGGTCGGGGTCGGGGGTCGGGGATCGGGGTCGGGGGTCGGGATTGGGGTCGGGGTCGGGGATCGGGGTCGGGGATCGGTCGGGGGTCGGGGATCGGGGTCGGGGGTCGGGGGTCGGGGTCAGGGGTCGGGGTCGGGGGTCGGGGATCGGTCGGGGGTCGGGGATCGGTCGGGGATCGGTCGGGGGTCGGGGGTCGGGGGTCGGGGGTCGTCGGGGTCGGGGGTCGGGGTCCGGCGCGCCTGTGACCCCGCGACCCCGGGCGCCCGCAGTCCTGCAGCGGCTGTGGGGCACGGCGGACGTGACGGACGACATCCAGGAGATGAAGGAGGAGAGCGCGCGCATGTCGCAGGAGAAGCAGGTGACGGTGCTGGAGCTGTTCCGCGCGCCGAGCTACCGCCAGCCCATCGTCATCTCCATCGTGCTGCAGCTCTCGCAGCAGCTCTCGGGCATCAACGCCGTGAGTGCAAGCTCTCGCGAGACCTGGCGGGGGGGGGGGGGGGGGGCGCTGCCCGGCGCAGGCGCAGGCGCAGGCGCGAGACGGCCGCGTGGGCGCAGCTGCTCGGGTTGCTAAGGAACAAACCCTAAGCTACTCCCGTCCTCGCGAGACTTGGCAGGGGGACACCTGGTCCACTCGGCCGCAAGCCACGCGCAGGCGCGCTGCTGCGGAGGCGCCGGGCTCGCCGCCATCGCTGCTTTGGGCGGCTCTGGGTGGGAAGCGGGCCGCGCGCTGTCACCGCAGACCCCAGACCCCACACCCCGCCACCCCAGACCCCAGACCCGTCACCCCAGACCCCCCTACCCCACCCCACCCCAGACCCCAGACCCCCCCACCCCACCCCAGACCCGTCACCCCAGACCCCAGACCCCGCCACCCCAGACCCCCCCACCCCAGACCCCAGACCCCGCCACCCCAGACCCCAGACCCCGTCACCCCAGGCTGGCGCTCTGCCTCGCCAATCACAGCCGAACCACAGCGCCGCTGCCGGCGTCGGGGCGTCGCAGACCTGGCTCCTGGCTCCCCACGGAGGGGGGGGGGGAGGGATGGGGGGAGGGGAGAGGAGGGATGGGGGGAGGGGGGAGGGGGAGGGGGATGGGGGAGGGGGGAGGAGGGATGGGGGAGGGGGGAGGAGGGGCGAGGGGAGAGGAGGGGGAGGGGGATGCTATACAATGTATCACATATACAACGTATAACACGTAACATACAATAGAACATAGAACATGCAATTTATGACATACAATATATAGTATACAATATATGACATAGCATAAATGCATAATGCAATATGTACATACAATATGCATAATATACAATATGTAACAAAATGTATAGCATGCAGCAATATGCAATATATGGTGCCCAATATCTACAATATACAGTAAGCAACATGTAACGTACAACATATGACATTAACATATAACATACAACACACACACAATACATAACATACAGTACATAATATGCAATGTAATATGCAATGTGTAGCATAATACATAGTATACCATATGTGATACACAATATATAATATACAACATATATACAATGTTACATAGTATGTAATATATAACAATATACAACACACAATATACAACAAAACAATATACATAATATACAACATAATATGCAATATGAAATTTACACTATATAACATGATGTGTAACAACAGACAGTAATATACAAAATGTAATATGTAATATGCAATATATAATATGCAATATGTAGTGTATAGTTTACAATATGTACCATACAATTAAATCCCTATGGTATATATGACGTATAGTTAGGAAAGCCCACCAGAAGCTGTGGTGAAGACAGGAGTAGGTTGAGTGGTAGAGGACTTGGCTAGCCGATGTGAAGTCCTCAGTTCAAATCCCTGTACTAGCAACACCACCAAAAAAGAAGAGAAGAAGTAGGGAGGAGTGTACACCAGCGGCGCCGCTTTGTGCAGTTCATATATGCTGATAAAAACTTATAGCTGGGCAGGTGGCTCAGTGGTAGAGCGCTTGCCTCGCATGCATGAGGCCCTGGGTTCGAGTCCTCAGCACCCCGTAAGCAGAAAAAGCCAGAAGTGGCGCTGTGGCTCAAGTGGTAGAGCGCCAGCCTTAAGCTGAAGAGCGGAGGGACAGCGCCCAGGCCCAGAGTTCAGGCCCCACGATCGCTTGTCATCCCAGCTACTCAAGAGGCTGAGATCTGAGGCTCACAGTTCAAAACCAACCCCAGCAATAAAGCCCAGTCAACCAGCCAAAAACTGGACTGGGAGATGTGGTTCAACTGGTTGAGCACCATTGTTGAGGGGCAAAGTTAGGTAGAGCGACAGAGAGAGGCTTTTGAGTTCAAATCCCAACATCTCCATACAGACAGCGAAGAGGGGAGAGCTTATGAACCCCGAGATGGTGTGGAAATGTCAATGTGTCTTTGTTTTCCCGTAGGTTTTCTATTACTCCACGGGGATCTTCAAAGATGCTGGCGTCTCCCAGCCCATCTACGCCACCATCGGAGCGGGCGTGGTGAATACCATCTTCACCGTAGTGTCTGTAAGTTGAGGCTCACATCATTTAGGGGGGGCAGCGGGGGTCGAGAAGGAATTCTTAACTACCCTTTGGGAGAAAGAGAAGGGTCATTTGAGAGATGGGTGTGTACGCTCTTTACAGACAACCTTGGGATAGATGGGCCGGGTGCTGTAGCTCCTGCCTGTAATCCCAGCTCCTCAGGAAGTGGAAATAGGAGGATCGTGGTTTAAAGCCAGGAACATCTGCCAGGCTCTCCTGGACGTCCGAGACTTGACTTTGCGTTTTCTGTTTCTCCAGCTGTTTCTGGTGGAGAGGGTTGGAAGGCGGACGCTGCACATGATCGGCCTGGGTGGCATGGCGGTGTGTTCCGGTCTCATGACCGTTTCTTTGTTGATGAAGGTGAGTCCGCTTGGCGCCGGGCATGCGGGCGGGTTAGAGGGTAGACGGGGCAAGGACACACAGACAAAGACAGACAGACACACACACGTATGTCCCTCACGGTCACTTTCCCACCCAGGACAACTTTGAAGCCATGAGCTTTATCTGCATCGCCGCCATCCTGATCTACGTGGCGTTCTTCGAGATCGGGCCCGGCCCCATCCCCTGGTTCATTGTGGCCGAGCTCTTCAGTCAGGGACCCCGGCCCGCTGCCATGGCCGTGGCCGGCTGCTCCAATTGGACCTCCAACTTCCTGGTTGGCCTGCTCTTCCCTTCTGCTGCTGTGAGTAACAGGGAACACTCACCAAGCCCGGCCGGGCATCGCTGTGCACGCCTGTAATCAATCCTAGGGCAAAGAGTGGACGTGGAGAAGGAGGTGAAGGAAGAGAGGGGGTCTGGGCGTGGTAGCACACGCCTGTAATCCGAGAGAGGAGGTCTGGGCGTGGTAGCTCACGCCTGTAATCCCAGAGCAAAGAGTGGACGTGGAGAAGGAGGTGAAGGAAGAGAGTAGGTCTGGGCGTGGTAGCACACGCCTGTAATCCGAGAGAGGAGGTCTGGGCGTGGTAGCTCACGCCTGTAATCCCAGAGCAAAGAGTGGACGTGGAGAAGGAGGTGAAGGAAGAGAGTAGGTCTGGGCGTGGAGCGCACGCCTGTAATCCGAGAGAGGAGGTCTGGGCATGGTAGCACACGCCTGTAGCCGCAGCTGCTCAGATGTCAGGCTCTGTGTGTGTCGCGGGGCTGGGGCAGATCCGACCGTGGAGGGAGCTGACCGGTGGCCGGGCATCGTCCGTCCCTGGCGTTAACGGCTGTGTTGGCTTTTGCTCCGTCCTCTCCCCAGTCCTTGATGGGGCCCTACGTGTTCATCGTCTTCGCCGTGTTCCTCGTGCTCTTCCTCATCTTCACCTTTTTCAAAGTCCCCGAGACTCGAGGCAGGACTTTCGAAGATATCGCAAGAGTGTTTGAAGGCCGGCCCCAGAAAAACGAAGGGGAGGTGAACAGAGGTCAGCCCGGTAAAGAAGACACCACCGACGTCTGAGCCCGGCCTCCTTCCTCCAGCCTCCCTCCCCGCCCACGGCAACACCCCTCCCCGCCGTGGGGGGGGCAGGGGCGGTGGGGGGAGCTGGGGAGGGGAACCAGAACCTCATCAGGATGAAGCCGGGACTATAGGATGCTGCTACGGGACTCTCCTGTCCAAGCCCCACTTTGCTCAGAAAGCAGATGCAGAGACGCCTGTGGAGAAGTCCCCGGGGCGCCTGCGTGCTCTGCGGCACTCTGCTTTCTGAGTCTCTGTCTTCTCTTTTCCACTGGCTGAGTTTCCTTGCATATAATTTATTCACCTTCCATGCAGGAACTGTGCTCATCTCCTGAAAAACCACCTGTTGAGTTGAGTTGAGGTTGTTGGGAAGGAGAAATTATTGTGTGTGTTTGTCTTTTTCTTAATTTTTTTCCCCCCCAAACAGGTGCAGAAATTAAAACATAAGGGGGAAAAAAAGTTGGAAGGTGACCAAGGGGGAAAAAAAATATGCAAGTGTGCACCGTGACACGCAGGTTCACACGCTGGTGTGTGTCACTGACTTGTGTGCTTGGGAGATGGAAACTCTTCTGATGAGTTTCTCTCCATTAATGTCTCCAGTATTTGGGCAGAAGAAGAGAGGGCAAAGAAGAGAAAATGCTACTCACTGGGTTTCCTTCTGGAAACTTCTAGAAGGTTGTCATCTCAGTGGGACTCAGGGTATTTGTGTTTTTTCCTAAGTTGGGCTTGGAGAGAGCTTGCTTAGGGTTTGCGGGGTTCATGGTGGCGGGTTGGGGGGGGATAGATGGAAGAGAAAGGTTCTTTGGGGGTGTTTGGTTTTTCTTCTGAATTTTGAAATGATCTCACTACCTAATAAGCGAAGTTAGGTCTTTTGTGGTGGGTCTTCTTTTGTGTGGTGTTTTACTTCTTAATTATTCTTCTGTTCACTGGTAGAAAATTCTGGAACCTCGCCGGGTTAGGTGGAGTGGAGAAGCGTAACGATTATTGGTCGCTGGCAGAGGGAAGTTCTCGCTGGAGTCTTGACTCTTGGATGTGTGTGTGTCCTTTGGGCCTGGATTCAGGCCGTGCGCAGCGCAGCCCGGCTGGGTGTGGATGCGTCCACGCCACGTCTCTGTGCCTGGGCAGTCTTTGTGGAGTGCTTTGGTCTCGCCCCGCCTGTACATACAGAACACTGCGTTATTATTATTGTTGTTTCAACCTTCCCATTCATCTCGCTACCTTCCTCATGAACATCCCGGTGAGCTTGAGAGATGGGGGGTTCTACCTCAGTCTAGCTGGCAAGGGGGCGGTGGGAATGCAGGTCCTGGGCTTGGGAGGTCAGGGCTACAGGTGGGTGAGCGGGGGAAGAAAGGTTCCCAGCAGGGACTAAGAAAATGGCCAGAGTTGATCGCTGGAAAGTTCTGGAAGATTCCAGAGAGATCCACTCTCTTCCCCCATTTCCCCAGTCCTCGTCTCTTCCTCGGTGCTTCTCTTTGGTCAGACATTTCAGCCAAGAGTATTTTGGTCCTCATTTCCCACAATCCTCTCTGGTTACTCCCCCTCCCCCCCCCCAGCTCAGGTGACTTAACACAGCACCCACCCCTCCCGGGATCTGAGTCCTTGCATCCAGGTTCTGAGTACTTCCTTCCGCGTGGCTTTTTTTCTACTCCCGTTATTGTGTTGCTTTTTGTTACTGTGGTTCTTTTATTTTGAAATAAAAATTCACACCATGGCCACCCCGCAGATTCGTTCTTGGGGACCCCCTTCCCCCCCAAAAACACCAAAATCCGTCTTCCCTGCAGGGCTGGAGCCATCCCCCATCTCCTGAGAACAATCCACCCGCTCTGTGTTACGCAAGTACTGGATGCCGAGTTCCTCCCTGCCGGCTCTCTTGCCCCAGCCCCAGCTTGCTCTTCTGGTGGATGGCGCTGGTGGCTCCCGCCTGTCATCCTGGCCGCTCAGGAGGCTGAGAGCGGAGGATCGCGATCTGAGGCCAGCCTGGGCAGGAAAGTCCGGTATTGAGAGCTGGAACTCGGTTGGCTCAAGGCAAACACTGTAGCCCGCGAGCCACCTCTCCACTTCTGCCTTTTGGGTCGGGGTCACTGGAGATAGAGCCTCCCAGGTCTTTCTTGCTTGGCCTCCAACTGCGATCCTCAGATCTCAGCCTCCTCTGTAGCTGGGATGACAGGCGGGAGCCTTGTCACACCTCCGAAGAGAGCCAGACTCCCCAAACACACACACACACACACACACACACACGCGTCAGACACTTGCTGGAAGACTTTCCAGTAAGTTCCAAGGCCCCCGTGGCTCCGCCCCCAGCTAAAGACAAGAGACTCAGCATATGAACTGGAGCCTCGGAGGGGCCCAGGGGACCCTGCTGGGCCTGGTGGCCAGCTGGTGACGACTTCCTAACCACCCAGTGTCCCCTTGTTTCCCTCCCAAATGTCTCCTCGATTTGTGTCCTAGACCTGGCGCTCGAACTCGGGGCCTGCTGCTTTTCCTTTAGCTGTTCTCTTCCAGGTTGGCGCTCTACCTCCTCGGCCAAGCCTCCGCTTCTGGCCTTTTGGTTCCTTTGGTGGGTTCATTGGTGGTCCAGAGTCTCCCAGACGCTTCTGCCAGGTGTTGGACTGGGAACAATCCTCAGATCTCAGCTTCCGGCCTGGCTGGGATTACAGGCGTGCGCTACAGGCTCCTCCGTGGAAGGCTCAGGGGATGCGAACGCCCAGCTGTTAGGAGCGCACCCCAGCTCTTATGCAAATGTACTGTCTGGACACCCACCCCAAGAAAGGCCAGGCCCCAAGGTCAGACACAAAAGAAGCGGCTGTTGTCCTCGGAATCTTCTAGAGGGATTTGGTCAGAAGGCAGGGCGGGAATGCAGTGGAGGGGAAGGGGAGGAACTTCTGCCCTTCCCCTCCCCACACACACCCTTTCATTTTTTTGTGCAAGTCCTGGGGCTTGAACTCCGCGCGGGCTCTGGCTTGGAGGTTATTTATTGTTTGTTCAAGGTGAGTGGCGCTTGACCACTTGAGCCACAGCTCCGCTTCTGGGTGTTTTTTTTTTTTGGTGGTTCTCTGGGGAAAAAGGGTCTGCACCCCTTTTGCTGCTCAGGCTGGGGGCTTCGAATCGTGGGATGCTCTGGCTTTCAGCCAGAGTAGCTGGGATTACAGGCGTGCGCTACGGGTGCCTGTCTTGTCTCGCACACCGGTCCTGCATGGGTCGGATGGCTTCCCCCCCCCCCCATCGGAATTAAAAACAAAGCCACACACACAACGCAGAGACTAAGACTGAGCCAAATCTTTACTCCTAAACCATGAGGTGAGTGCCAGAAGACCAGACAATTAGGGCTGAAAGCCAGGTGATTCATTTGGACCCAGACGACAAAGAGAAAGCATCTCTACAAATGATACTCAGGAACCAAACATGGGTTGGGGGCGTCTGAGGTACCCATGGAGCTTTGACCCCTCACCCGAAAAAAACCGGCCTCCAACGAGAACAAGAATCCTCTCTGCACGCTTTGGGCTACGCGAAAGGGATCTACGTTTGCCAGCCCCGTGCTCATTTGGCTAGCTAGCGGGGCTGGTAGCGCACGCCTGTAATCCCAGCGGCTCTGGGGGCTGAGATCAGAGGATCGCAGTTCAAGGCCAGCCCAGGTAGAACGAACACACACACACACACGCACACGCACACACACACGCGCACACACACGCACACACGCGCGCGCGCGCACACACACACACGCCCCGTGCGGTGGCTCCCGCCTGCCATCCCAGCTCCTCAGGAGGCTGAGATCAGAGGATCAGGGTTCAAGGCCAGCCCAGGCAGGAAAGGCCGTGAGACTCTGCTCTCCCGTGAGCCACCAGAAAACCAGAAGTGGAGCTGTGGCTCAAGGGGTAGAGCACCAGCCTGGAGTGAAAGAGCTCAGGGACAGCGCCCAGGCCCCGAGTTCGAATCCCAGCACCGCCCCTCCCTCCCCCCCCCCAAGTGACTTAGAAATAAACGAAGAATTCACAGGACACTGGCAGCATAGTTTAGGTAACAATCCGAGCCCAGGGGCGCGTCGAGGTAGGGCTGGCTCCCTCCAGAGATTTCCGTGGAAGCTTCCAGACTTGCCCCGGGAAGGTCAGGCTGGCAGGGCAGGTAGGGCTGGCCGGGCTGCTGGGGGAGGTGGCTGTGGAATGCGTGGTTCCAGGCCGGGCCGGGGCTGTCCCAGGGCTGGGGGTCCCACGGGTGGGCGCCCGGGGCTGGGCCGCTCCAGCTCTGGCTGCTGCTGCTGCACATCGGGTCGCTCCACGGAGGAAGGCCTCCAGAGGCGGCGGCGGCCACCGCCCAGCCCGGGGCATGGCCAGGGTGCAGGCCGCTCACCTGGGGAGAGCCAGAGCCGGCGTTGTTGGGGCTGCATGGGAACCAGCCGGGCGGGTGCCGGAGCGCCCGCCTGCAATCCCGGCCAGGTCCTTCTGGAGAAGCTGTGAAGCTGGGCGTGAGGGCGGTGGGACCCCAGGCTGGGCCAGACGGGCACCAGCCTCGAGTGAAAAGCTCCATGACAGGTCCCTGGCTCAAGCCCTAGCCCCGGCACAAGCACAGACAGACAGACAGACAGACAGAAGCAGAGGGGAAGCGTTGGTTTCCCGTTACCTGGGCCGGCCGGCTGCCGTCCAGCAGACCCCGGCTCTTCTGCCACCTTTTACATTTCATCCTGCGGTTCTGGAACCAAGTCTTGACCTGCAGGAGAGGGGTGACCGGCCTTAGAAGGGCCCCCCGACTGCCTCCGAGCCGGGCGCCGCGGCGCAGGCCTGTAGTCCCGGCCACCCAGGAGGCTGAGATGGGAGGATCGCAGTTCACAGCCAGCCCAGGAGCAGCAAAGTCCTGTGAGACTCTGATCTCCTCCCAAAGCCACCAGAAAACCAAGCTGTGGCGCTGTGGCTCACGTGGTAGAGCGCCAGCGCCCAGGCCCCGGGTTCGAGACCCACCACCGACCAAAAGCAAACGCGAAAGCATGCCCCGGCGCACACCTGCTTGTAGGTGAGGTTGAGGAGGTTGGAGAGCTCCTGCATCTGCTGCAGGCTCAGGTACTTCTGCTTCTGGAAGCGCTCGTTGAGGTAGTACAGCTGCATCTGGGAGAACACGGTTCGAATCTTCTGTCTCTTGGCGGGAGGCTTGCCCTGGTCGCCCTGGCCGCCGGGGATGCTGCCGGGACGGGAGTCGGGGGTGGCGGGTCTGGCCGGGAGAGGAGACACGGACCCAGGGCTTTCCCGAGTCCGCAGAGCCACGGAGGCCGGAGGAGGAGAAGCTGCTGCTGGCGAGCAAAGGAAGATGACGTTGAGCCGAGCGGCGCTGCGCACGCCTGTAATCCCAGCTCCACCGCAGGGTGAGAGCTGAGCATCGCTGGTTCAAAGCCAGCCGGGGAGAGACGAATCCGGGGCACTAAGGACTAGCAAAGGGGGAGGAGGAGGCCGTCTGACTCAGCTGCAGAGCTGAGGGACGGCGCCCGGGCCCTGAGTTCAAGTCCCACCACTGACAACAACAAAAGAGGATTTGAGAGAGGAAGGGTGGGGGCGAATGCTATCCTCAACGTAATCAAAGGTGGAGTCAGGGATTGGCAGGGGAGGGGAGGGGTGGGAGGGCTGGAGGGGGGTGCGGGGAGAAGGGAGGGGGCGAGAAGGATCCAGAGGTTTGGCTCTCACAGAGTGAGGAGCTGAGCGGAAGCCCTCCTAGACAACTACTTAAATCACACCAAGTCTTAACAGATTTGTGTCGGCCGAATCCAGTCACTCCTAGGCGAAGGGTAGGATCTGACTAGAAATGTGGGGTTCGCCTTCACCCCGGGTTGCGGACCCTTCCTAGCTCAACAACGGCACCGTTGACTAAAGCATTTCGAGTCAGACTTCACCATTAGGCCGGGCTTGGGTGTTCATGCCTGTAATCCAGGCTTCCACAGGAGGCTGGGATCTGGAGGAAGGGGGGCTTCCAAGCCAATTTGGGCAGAAAAGAAGAGGGAGGAAGAGGAGGAGGAGGAGGAGGAAATAATCCTGACCTTCTTTAAAAAACAGAAGGGGAGGTATGGCTCAAGTAGTAGAGCGCCAGCCTGGATAGAAAATGCCAAGCGAGAGTGCCGGGCTTGGAGTTCCAATCCCAGCAGTCCGAATGTATATAGAAACGAAAGTGAAAACCCAGTGCCAGTCTCCGGTGGCTCCCGCCTGTCAGCCTAGCTACTCAGGAGGCTGAGATCGGAGGATCAGGATTTGAGGCCGACCCCGAGCAAAGAAGCTCAAGGGGCAGAGAGCTCAGGCCCTGAGTTCCACCTCCAGGGCCAGCACCCAAGAAACAAAACATAAATCTAGATATACAATTATTATCATTATTTTGTGTGGCGTTCGTGGGGTTTGAACTCAGGGCCTGGGCGCTGTCCCTCAGCTCAAGGCTGGTGCTCTACCCCTTGGGCCACAGCGCCACTTCAGCTTTTGGTTGTTTCTTTGGAGAGAAGATTCTCACGGCCTTTCCTGCCCAGGCTGGCCTTGAACCGCGATCCTCAGCTCTCAGCCTCCTGAGTCGCTGGGATTACAGGCGTGCGCTGCGGAGCCCGGCTTCAGGTCTGTCTTACCTGTGTCTGCGTGGAGCGTGGGCTCGGGGCTGGGCCTGGGCTCCTCCTCGTGGGCCTGGCAGCTGCCGGGCTCTGGCGATCGGTCCTTCCCATCAGCTGCCTCAGACCTTGGC